GTAGTTTCAAACTGCTGACCTTGAGGTTAGCAGCCCAATTTGTAACCACTATGCTACCAGAGCTCCTTAATCATATAGTCACGTTTAAAAGAAAATTATTTCAGTGTTAAAGGGAATAATAATTTTAAAAGGAAAATAGCACCATTTTATTTCTTTCAAGTTGCCAAGAGAAAGAATATTTACTTCTTGCAAAATTAAAGTTTAATGGGGTAAAGGAGAATGAGATAAAATAGGCTAGGAAGATATTTGCTCTTTCAAAACATAAAAGGGATTCGTTGAATCTTTCACTTTTTACCATATCAAAGTTTGTGGCTATACAATTACAGTCCTTGCCAATCTGAAATTGATCTTGTTGTACTGAGAATGTCATCTAGGAAGAGACAGGTTGATTTTAGGTAAATTGCCAGTAATTTATGTTTAAAACAGTTTTGAAAACAGTCAAAATAAGAAACTTTAACTAATTTATTGTACATAAATCTACCTCTACACAGGTAGATTTGTTGTTGTTGTTAGGTGCCATAACAACAATAACAAATCTACATATACACAGAGGGAGATTTATATACAATGAATTAAAGTTCTTATTTTGACTGTTTTCATACGAAATTAAGAAAAAAAGCAAAATAGTAACAAGACCAGAGATTGCTGCCAATTTCCCTAAAATCAACCTGTCTTCTCCTAGATGACAATCTCAGTGCAACAAGATCAATTTCAGTTTGGCAACTACTGTAATTAAATATCCACGAACTTTGATATGTCAAAAAAGTGAAAGATTCAAGGAATTCCATTTATGTTTGGAAAGAGCAAATGGCTTCCTAGTCTATACACAAGCTTTCTGGAATCCTGGTGTGGCACTGTGGGTTAACGAGCTAGACTGCAAGGTCTGTTTGAATTGCAAGGTTGGCAGTTCAAGCTCATCAGCTGCTCCTCCTCGGAAACCCTATGAGTTGCTATGAATACAAACAGAATACCAACAGACTCGGTGACACTTAAGAACAGCATTAGCTTTGTTAGCCTTTGGTAATTATGTAACATTACTAAACATGAGGGTACATGTACATAGTTTACTCCATTATTAATTACTGGAATTAATAATGGAATTTACAATGTACAATATAATTATTGACATTCTGAGTTCCTATCATGTTTATATTGCTTTAAGGAAACTGCTTTGTTCAGGGCAAAGTTCTAATTGGTTGAATTGTTTAATGTTGGAGATTATTGCTGAATCACTGTTATTTTTATGCTTGTGGTGTGTGTAAGTACAGGGGCAACAAGTTCTTTAATATATTTTAAAATAAGAAGATAGTGAATGATTGCTCAACATAAACATGATTTCCCCTAATAAGCTATTTTTCACTACTTTCATCAGGAAAATATGATGGCTATAAAGTTCAGCAGTGATTGCAATGTGTGAGTATGCCTATGCCACCTGTTTTTAACTGTTCTCAAAGTGTTTGACTCTAGTGTACACATTTTGTTTGGAACTTGCACCACGGTATTTATTTCCTCCTTTCTTCATAGATCAGTACTACAGAACAGAGAAATTCATGGGGGTTAAAATTTTGTGAGAATGCTCAAATATTGGTCTGTTAAAAATCTTCTTGGAAACAAAAACGAAGTCTACTCTTTGTACTATCAAGGTCATAACTGAACTGGATGCCTTCAGTTTAAAAGCACAGAGATGCCACCTAGCAGCCACCTTCAGGAATTTCCTACACAGAAATAGCCCTTTTCTATAAAACTGAGCAATAATTGAATTTATACAAGGTTTCAGGGTTGTTGTTTTTTATTAATTTCCTTATTGAATAATAATTAGTCATATTTCCTACAATTCAGACTCTATTGCAAATGAAATTAATTGACATCTCTTAATATAGACAAAGTGAAATGCCCATGAGTTTTTTTCTAACTAAAACTGGGAGCTTGTTAATTAGACTTTAATTAAGAAAATGTAATTCTGAGAGGAAAATTGATAATCTAATTCTATAAAAATATGAATAACTAATTTGTAGTGAATTGCCTTTTCTTCTGAAATAAAAATACTAACCTTGACAATTTTCTGATATGTTGAGTGAATGAAAGGAAAGTAAGTGCTTGCTGAAAGTAAATCCATCCTATGAAAACAGGAATTTGGGCAATTCTCAGAATGTAAAAATAAAACTGATTGTCAAGTAACTTATTTTACCATAAGATGGCGATACATAAGCACTTTATAAAATGTTATATAAGATCTGTAAGTTTCAATCACGGAATAAATTATAAACATAAATATAGTCATTCATAAATAGCATTGACAGTAACCACTGTCATTAGTAAAGTGTTCCCTTTGCAGGTAAACTAAAACACAGGAAGCACATCTAGGATTTAGATTTCCAACCTTGGATATATGCAACCATTCCATACTTAAAAATATATTTAATTCTAAGAGTTCTGCTATTTTTCTAGCTCTTGTGATTCCACGTATGATTACACATGTTTATTATTAAAATAAAGTTTAATAATATAGAAGACAACTTTAAGGTAAATACATTTGTTTGAAAATATGATTATGAAATATACCATCCTGCAATATTAAAACAATACAATAATATCATTTAAAAGAAACAACTGTTTAGAATTTTTGCACTCTTAAAAGTGTCATCACTTGAATTACTATTTTTTTTTTTTTGTCTCAAAACTGGTCTATGTGATACTTTTATCTTGGGTTTAAATTTGTTTCACCAGACAAAATTTATACTAAGAATGCTAATTTTACTATCTGAATTGGCATGACATATCAAGCAATTGTCATGACATTAAATAAACTTTGAGAAAATCCCAATTTTTAACTGAAAAATAACAATTACTTTGAGAATGTAATAGTTCTCTTTGTAAGTTTTTTTTTGGGGGAAGAAGCAATAAATTTAGTAATTAGTGTTCATTTAATAAAACATACAAAAGTAGCTACTAATTTTTTTTTTCTTTCCACTAATATTTTGTCTAAAATTCCAAAGAACTTTTTCAATATTAAAATAGCTTATTATAAATATTTTAATAGTCTCTATAATGCCATATGTGGTATAGAACAAATCATCAACTTCTGCTATTTTCAAACTGTATTGCAGTATCGAGAAGCTAAAAAGGATAGTTTGAAAAGTTAATGCAATCTCCTCCTTGCCTAGGTTTATGAGCTCATCTGGGTCCAACAGTCAGTTATATCTGAAGAAAAGTTTTGTATTATTGAATACTCAGAAAAAAAGTTCATCAAAACTAGAAAAAAATATTACTGAGAATGTTTTTATTTTTTGTGTGATTTATCTTCGTACTTAACAAAAGATCCACTGTGTCTATATACACTTAGTTTTAGAAAGAATGTGATACAGGCAATGAAGATAATTATGCATTAAAGATATCAGACAAATCAATCACATATGTTATTGTTAAGAAATGTACATTCCTATGTATCCAGTTTAAACAATAATGAAATTCACTTTAAATCAAATAGTTTCTTCTTCAGTAAACCAGTAATCAATTTTGCTTTTTAAAAATGTTTTACCAGGAATATTTAAAATAAGATGCATAGTAGAATGTGTTAAGAAAAATAATGTAACATGCCACTGACTGTGAAATATGCTAATATAGGTGCAAAGGGAAATAGCTATCTATTTAAGCAAAATCAACACTTTTCACCTGGGCGTAAAATGCTTTAAAGCTACCACTTAGTATGTGAAAGATGCCATTCAAATCATTAAGATGGCATTCACACACTGTGTGAAGCTTTCATAGTGACAATATCAGTACCACCATAGCTTTAAAATAAAATGATTTTATTGTCATCAGCTTTCCCCAGATATGAAAACTTCACAGATATAATTAGTATATATGAGAGCATTCTAAGTTTTTACTATAGTCAACCAACCATATATTAGATTATTGAATTGTCTTAGTTTATTGAATTAAGAAAGGAAAGTTAATTTCTCTGCATTACACAGATGTGAAGTTTCAAAAATAACTTCACAAAATTCTAAATAAATGTTTTTATAATACAGCATTTGCTTTCTTTAGTATCAAATTGATCTTGGTGCTTTAAATTAGTAAAATGATGAATAAACTGTATCTCTCACTCTTTTTACCCAAATGCCTTATCTTTTACTCCAGATAATTTAAATTTTCTTAGAATGCTAAAGCTCTCAAATCGCCTCACTTTATCATCAAGCTTACACCGTTAAACATATTTTTTTTCATATTTTCTCACCTTTTCATCAAAAGAGATTAACATTTACTTTAATTGCTAGCACTGGGTAATTTTCCGAGTTCAGCAGTTATGAGACAACTCATCCTTCCTATTGCCCTCCTTAGTTTGACAGGATTCTCACTTCCTGTTTCTTCACAGTGGCAATCAGAACTTCCTTAGTGCCCCTTAATTTCCTTAATGAAAAGAAAGAAGCAAACAAACACGAGCCCCTTTCATCAACCGCTTCTCAGCCATAGCAGAGTAATAGCTCTGCTGTTTTGCCGTGTGTGTTACAAGCAGCATCCCAAATGATTTGGACACAAACCGCAGCACGTCTGAGATGGGAGTATTATTGAACAGGATCAGCTGGTAAACGTTTTCTTGCTTTCAACAAAGAAACGGTTCACCATCTCCTAATATATTTTTACAAATGGCATTGTTTCATCTGCAAAGTCTTTTGCATTACCCGTCCGATTTCAAAAAAGCATATAAAGCAGTTTTACACAAAATAAGCTACATTTCCCCAGAGAGCCGCATTGCCCGCTGCCCATACACATTACATTCGTTCCTGGTCCCTCCCCCCTCGAACTAAGACTCTACCTTTAGGAGCTAATCCTACGGTAGTTCACCTTGTTATCTTCTAAGCAGTGGGTAAAGCCAGACACCACGAGGTAGCTGGAAAAGCTGTTTCCCGTGTCGTTTTTGGCATATTTATTTTGATTTTTGGTGGGTTTGTTACACATTGCATATTTATTTCAAATAAGAGTTAAAATATTGCCCATACCTTGGAAGGATCTAATCCAGCAAGCAAAGAAAGCAGCAGAAGGTTGAGAAGATTGGACGTCGCCTGCATTCTGATCTGGGTTTTTGCCCCCTCTTTACTCTCCTTTATGTAGCCACTCCACTCTCACTGCAGAGACCTTCCTCTTGTCAGTTGCACTTTCTGCCTGCCAGTCAGAGCACAGTGGAGGCAGAGGCGGTGGTGGCAAGCAGTAACAGCAACAGAAGCAGCGGCAGCAGTAGAAGTAGCAGCGGCAGCAGCGGCAGCCGCCCTGGGGGGCGATCATTCCGCAGGCATTCTCAGAGCTGGAAGTCCGGGGGCCCTAGAGGGTGTACTAGGCTGCAGTGGGTGCTGACCGAGGTGCTGAAGTTCCTCCAGCCCGCGTGTTCCAGTTTACCTTCTCCCAGACTGTTTTCTAGCCCGCCCAGCTCAAAAGTTTTGACCCAAGAAGAGAGAAAGGGAGTAACTGCTGGGAGAGGTGTGGAGACCTGAACAACGGATATGACATCACTACAGCTCCTGGAGACTTGGGGGGTGGGGTGGGGTGGGTTGGTGTTTTGGGGGGAATTTAACTAAACAAAGATCGACCCTCTGTGCTCAGTTCAGCACTGGCTGGCAAATGTGAGCTTCAGAGAAGTAAAAACTCAGCTAAATAGAACATTATTAAAAAACTGGAACCTTCTGCTGTCATTGACAGACGACTTCATATCGTATGTAGAGATTTAAACAAAAGTTTGCTGAGCAGACTATCACTGTACGTTTTCTCTCTAAGACACAATATGTACGAATATATATGCAGTATCATTTATGAATAGCCCATTAAAATAAAGTCTATTTGGTCAGGTATTAATGTGTTTTCTTTGTAGAATCTTTGGCCATATGAAGATATTGTGCATAAATAAATAACCAGCAAAACAAACCCATTGCCTTCAAGTGATTTAGGCTCATCGTGCCCCTATAGGGCAGAATAGAACTGTCCTGTAGGATTTCCGAGGCTGTAAGCCTTATTGCTGCTAACAACAACAATAATCTTTACGGGGGAGTCCTGGTGTATTAGTGCCCTAGTGTGGTGCTGTAGAATAACCTCGGGATCCCTAACCTCAAGGTTGGCGGTTCAAACTCACAGCCGCTCCTCAGAAACCCTATAGAGGGTCACTATGAGTCGGAACATATACTTAATGGTATTCAACAACAATCCTTATGGAAGGAGACAGCTACATCTTTCTCCCAAAGCACAGCTGTTGTATTCAAACCACCGTCTATTGGTTAACCACTGTATCACCATGGCTCCTTGTATAAACGAAGAGGCATTATTTATCTCTTTCTATATTTGTTTCTCTGCTATTCATAACGTTTTCAGTGACTGAATATTTGGAAGTAGTTCATCACTCCTTCTTCTTAGTCTGTCTTCATCTGGAAGCTCATCTGAAACCTGTCCACCATGGGTGACCCTGCTGGTATTTTAAATTACTGGTGGCATAGCTTCCAGAATCACAGCAAAGACTGGCAAAGTGGCAGCATCAATGGGCTCAAGCGTGGCAACAATAGTGAGGTTGGCCCAGGATTGGGCAGCTTTTTGTTCTGCTGTGCATAAGGTCGCTATGAGTCAGTTCCAACTCGATGGCACCGAATAACACATTTAAGTTATGGAGTTCTGGTGTAGGGTGGTAGGATAACTACTCAGACTCAAGGTCAGTTTGAACAATAAGGTTGGCAGTTCAAATTCACCAGTTGCTCTTCAGAAACCCTATACAGGGTCGCTATGGGTCAGAACCACTTGACAGCACTTAACAACAAAAACAGCAACAATGTTGAGTATATTTGTGGTTAACTCATTTTTTTTTCTTCTATTCACATTTATTTCTTAAGTCAAACTCTCTTTCTTTCCCTCAAGGAAAATTAGCATAGAATAATTTTTTTCAAAATTTTTTCAGGTTCACAAATGAACCCTGATGTGGCACTAGACTGGCAACCACATGGTCAGCCATTCAACCCACCCATAAGTCAAAACTGACTCCATAGCACATAATGACAACAACAAATATAGAAATGTTGTTGAAATTTTTATTCTGCATTTTTTTGAGCTCTTCACATGACTGTACAATTTGAAAATGAATGTGCAGTGGTGTTATAGCTATATGGTTATAATAATGCATTTTATCCCTTATTATCTGAATACAGCATAATTTTTTGATTATATGTGGTTTGGGATATACTTTTTTCTTAAAATATAGTTAATCATTCTTTTCCATTTCTAACTCTAACCCCTAAGGCCTTACTCAAATATCATCTATACAGCTTTTCAGGACCAACATTCTGAGTTACTTGCTTCATTTTCTGTACTTCATTTCATACACTTACCTATGAACAAGCACACTTATCACATTGTACTGGCATATTTTGCTCACATATCAATACTCTAAAGTATTGATAATTCTGATATGCAATGGTCAACTATTTATTTTTGTCTTTTCAGAGTTGTTCAAAAAGCATAGTATATTGAAATAATTATTTAAAATCTACCTGTTTACTCATTTCTATGTTCTCTCTTACAAAGTTCATTTTCTATTTGCCTTTATCTTCAGAGTTGACTGCTTATTATTAGGTGTTCAATGTAATTTTATTGAAATTAGTAAAATAATAAATCAATGTGCTTGTTTGTTGTTAATTGGTGCCCCTATTCTAATGTAAATTCTGTGCAGTTGCAAATTCCACAATCTAGTTCATCCTGAGGTCAACTAGAGCTCATCACTCTAGTTGATGTTCCAGTCTCAGCAACTGGGAACACTGTAAAATAAATGCATAATCTCAGTAGGCAACGCAGAATGCTAGTTTGGTTACAAAAAGCTATGTTTAATAGGCACACAAAAACTAACATGAAAATATAGCCATACAAATTTTAATATTTAAATACATTGAGATATTCTTGTAATGACAAGAAATGCTTATTCTGGATGAAATTTTGCTCTGGTCTTATATACTTAGTTCACAATATTAATGACCAGACCAAACTATACATTATTTCTTTCACTCTCTGTTTTATTTTATTTTTTAATAATTTCCCTTCCCTGCCATCCACAGAAACCATTATAGAAAGTTTATTATAGAATAAAACCCCTTTCTTGACTTTTTAAAGTAGTGGTCTCATACAATATCTGACCCTTTGCAATTTACTAATTTCACTCAGCATAATGCCTTCCAGAATCTTCCATGCTATGTGGTGTTCCACAGATTCCACAGATTCACCATTGTTGTATTGTTGTATGATATTCCACTGTGTGTATGTGTCAAAGTTTCTTCAGTCATTCCTCTGTTGATGGGTATCTAGGTTGTCTCTTTTTTTTTTTTTTTTTTTTTGCTATTGTGAATAATGCAATGAACATGGGTGTGCATATGTCTATTCATGTTATGGATCTTATATCCTGATGCTATATACCAAGTAGAGAGTTTGCTGGGTCGTATGGTATTTCTATTCACAAGTTTCTAAGTGACTTGATGAGCTCCTAGTGTGGTGCTGTAAGATCAGCACTGGGCTGTAATCCACAATGTCGGCAGCTGAATCCCAACGGCTACTCCTCTGAAACCCTATACAGGGCCACTGAGTCAGAACCGACTCAGCAGTACTTAACAATAGCAGCAAGTGTCTTGATAGCACTTAGAAACAACAGCAACAAGAAAGTGCTCTAATGTTGTCCACAGCTGTTTCACCATTTTACAGCAGAGTTGGAGGGTCCTATACCTTCCACACCCTACTAGCATTTGTTGTTTTCTGGGTTTTTTTGAGCTTTCCTATTGATGGTGGGTTAAGATGATATCTTATTGTTGTTTTGGTTTGCATCTCCCTAATGGCTACTGAGAGTCCTAGTGTGGCACTGTGGGCTAATGCGTCAGACTTCGAAGTTGTTTGAACAGCAAGGTCAATAGTTCAAGCTCACCAGCTGCTCCTTGGAAACCCTATACAGGGTCACTATGGGTCAGAATCAGCATGACGGCACTTAACAAAAACAACAGCAATGGCTACTGATTGTGAGCATTTCTTCATGTTTATTGGTCTATTGTATATTTTCTTTGGTGAAGGTCTGGTCATGCCCTTTGTTAATGTCACTGTAAATTCTGAGTACCTTCCAACCTGTTGTTGTTAAGTGTCATTGAGTAGGCTCTGACTATGCACAACATAACAAAATACTTCTCAGTCCTGTGCCATCCACACAATTGTTGTTATGTTTGAACCCATTGTTGTAGCCTTTGTGTCAATCCTTTTCGGTGGGAGGACTTCCTCTTTTTCATTGACCCTCTATTTTCCAAGGAAAAAGCCCTTTTCCCAAAACTGGTCCTTCTTGACAACATGTCGAAAGCACTGGGCACGAAGTCTCACCATCTTTGCTTCCAAGGAGCGTTCTGACTGTACTGTTTTCAGAACAGATTTGTTTGTTGATGCATTGAAATTATGATGTTGGCAAAGAATATTGAAAGCTTTCCAACTTTGTTGTTGTTATTAAGTGCCATCTAGTCGATGCCAACTCACAGCGACCCTGTATAGGGTTGCTGAGGAGTGGCTGGTGAGTTTGAATGGCTGACCTTGTGATTCAAGATGATCTTGTGGTCTAGTGCTTTATCCCACAGCACCACACAAGGATTCCTTTTTCAAGCTAGGGGGCTCATATTCTAGTACTATATAGGATAATATTCTTTTGTGAAATGTGGCTAATTTTCAGTAGATCACTAGATCTTTCTTCCTAGTCTGTCTTAGTCTGAAACTTGTCTATCAGGTTGCTACCTGGTGTTAGACCTTTATTGGATATGGTGGACGGTAGGGTGTGCTGTGGAATCAGCTCTGATATTCATAATGATCCTGCATAGTGTTTCTTAATCTGTAGATCTTTTTTTTTTTTTT